ATATATATATATATATATATATATATATATATATATATATATGATATTTTATAAGGTAAAAGTGAAAAAAGTTAATATTTATTGTTACTAAAAATAACAAAATTGAGTAGATAATTAAAGAGTAACTTTTCACATATAGCAAACATAAAAATTATATTTGTATGTTATAACTATACTTTGCATAATTGCCCTCCATAGCAAACATAAATATGTATATTTCGTGATACATATACAAAAAAAATAGTTGTTATAATTCGCTATACATATATAAAGAAACCAATTGTATAATTCGCTATACATATACAAAAGAAAAGCAGTTGTACCCAAAAGATCAGTTGTACAATTTGTGTGTGTATAAAACGAGAAAAGAGAAAGAAAAAAGAAAATTGGGCAAGGGAATATTTTTACAGTATAATTACAAGTGTATGGGACGAAGATACATGTATTTGCATGTGTATATACAATCAATTTTCTCTCGCTTTATTCAAACAGAAATGCAATTTATATATTTTGTTTCTGTTTGTATAAGCGAGAGAGGCAAGCAAGGTCTAGAAGAGGGGAACGAAAATATATACATATATATAATTTTCTCTCGCTTTATACAAACACAAACATATTTTATATATTTATGTTTGTATAAAAGCGAGAGAGGGGAGTAAAAGAGAGAGTGGCGAGCGAGAGTTTGAGGGATAGAAGCGACAGACAAACAGTTTGCTACATGGTACTATTAAATTACAGTGTGGTTATAATATTTAATTTGAATTACTAGTTACTTATTATATACAATTTTCCTAATTAAATTGTATTCACAAATTTTATTATTTGAACATATGATATTTTTCATAAATAATTATGATACTTTATACCTTGTAATCATAAATATGACTTTGATTTTACTAAAAAGCTATTTAAATCAAATCATTTCACACTTGATATACCAAATTTAGCTTTCTAGCTAATGAATTTTTTTTTTCTTCAAGAAATAGAGAATACAAATATCACGAAGTTTCGCATGTGATGAATGGTCGATAAAGACACAAAAGATTAAACTTTTTAAACATTTGAATCGCTAACATGAAATATGGTCAATTGGATAAGAGGGAGTTGCTCCAATGGTAAGCACCACTCACTTCTAATTCGAAGGTTGCGAATTCGAGCCATGTAGCCTATGCTGGATTAATCGTATTCTTGGTCGGAGCAATCAACCTATTTGAAGTGACTCATTTCGTACCAGAGAATCCTATGATGAGAGCTCCTGGGGAGGATAAAAAAATTAATTAAAAAAATGGTCGATTGAATATTTAATGGAGACTTGTTTATGATATATACATAGTTGAATCATAAGTCATTTGTCATGACAAAGACATCTATATGTCTACTAATTTTTGAAGTAGTTATTTGTTGGACTTGATGAGTTTTGACGATACACAAGATTTATTGGGTAATAATAACAGATAGTATTAAATAAATAGTATTAAATAATATTAGTATTTACTATGTACTAATTCTAGTCCTATTAGGATTAGTACTCCTTAATCCTAGTCCTATTAGGATTAGTACTCCTTTCTATATCTCCTATATATATCTCCCATGTATTCCCTTATTAGGTTAACACTTCAATACAATCAATATTCCTTCATGGTATCAGAGCAGGGCCCGTCTCACCCGATGTTGGGGTCCCCAAAATTAAAATTGCCCACGCACCAGATGCTAAGCACTGGGCATGAGGTGGGGTGTTAAATAATGACAAAAGTCCCACATCGGTGATTAATGAGATGGGTGGACTCCTTATAAGGCTTGGGCAATCCTCCTCCCTTTGAGCTAGCTTTTGGGGTGTGAGTTAGGCGTAAGACCTAATTTCACATGGTATCAGAGCCAGAAAACCTAGATCTTCTTTTCTCTAGGTTTTTTTTCTCTCTCTTTAGGGCACTGATCGTTCCCTCTCTTCTCTTGGGCGGCGACAGTCATGACAACCGAGGTGGATCCTCTCGATTCACTTCCTTCTGGCGTTAAACTCCTTCTCAGACATCTTCATGCCCTGATTCCCGAAAAATTATCAGACATAAATTATCCTACATGGAAAATCACCGTTCTTACAGCCCTTGAGGCCAATTACCTTCTCAAATACGTCGATGGAAGCACAGAACCGCCGTCGGCAGTCATCATCGCCACGGACAAATCAGAAAAAACCAATCCGGCCCATGCCGCTTGGAAAGCCGTGGATGGCCAGATCCGATCATGTTTGATTGCGGTCATCTCTCCCACGGTTCAGAAACACGTCCGATCCTACACAACTGCTTCAGCCCCGTGGACGGCCCTCGTAACACGCTATGCATCAATTTCCCACTCTCATATTTTTCAATTGCGTGATTGTCTCCACACAATTACCAAAGGCACGAAAACTATGGCGGAGTATTTAGACGAGGTCTCCACCATCATCACAGCCCTCGACACCGTGAACGAAATCATTCCCGAAAAAGATCTCCACCAGAATGAAGCATGTTGATACCGATTGTCTCTTTGTTCGCGATGAAGTTCATGCCGGCACCATGACTGTGCAGTATGTACCCACTGAAGAACAACCGGCTGATATTCTCACCAAGCCTCTTCCGAGCCGACAGCACGGTTACCTCAGTTCCAAGCTTCCGTTCGCTTCCGCTCAGCTCAGCTTGAGGGGGATAATAACAGATAGAATTAGAACGCCCTCTCCTTCCTGATATCCAAAGGAGAGCGGAGCTTCAACACCGGCTGTCCTTCTATTTTATCGGGAGGAACGAGCCTGTTCAGGGTTCCAAACTCAACGATGTCAACTAAACACTTATGAAATTTATTTAATAGTTGGCAAATATGAAAATTTGAATAGTAATTTTATAAAGTTAAAATAATAAAATTTTGGTCAAGTATTTGATATTGAAATATCTGTAATTAAGGGTGTACATAGGTCGATTCCGTTTGGTTTTTTATTTAAAAAAATCTAAATTAATTATGTTGGTTTGTTAAATCTAAAAACCAAATCAAACCATATAAAGTTGGTTTTTTCGGTTTTGGCTTTAGTAGTTTCTTTTTTCAAATTTTTTGATTTTTTACAACTATACGGGCGATCAAATATTTTTTCACTTAGCTGTGTGATAAATTAAACTTAAAAAATGTTAAGTGAATCGAAATTTTCGAAAAGACTATAAAATTCACATGAGTACAAAATATATTTTTCTGAAATATCAACGTTGTTCATTATGTTAAATTAATAAGATAAAGTGAAAATGCTCAAAATTCTCTTAACCTATTAGAATTGGTTCAAAAATGCCCTCCTTCCATCTATTGATTTAGATATGTCCTTAACAAAGTAAATTGTTAA